ATTAATTGATTTTAAAAAATTTTTTTTTTTTTTGGGGGGGGTCCAGAGCGGGCTAAATATAGACTGCATTTCGGAGACTGAATTGTGGCGTGTCGAAATGAAGAGCATTATGAGAAAGTATGGATTTGAAGTCGCCTGCATTACTGCAAAGTTATAAATTATGAGGTTGGGCCTTTGATAAAAATCTCCCTTTCTCCGATAGGACCAAAACAAGTTGATGTCGTATGATGTAATTTCCTCAAACAACCCAAGCTTCCAGGAGAAGAGTCACAGAGATTGACGTTCAGAAGAGTGGGAAGACATGGGATAATGTCAAGAGGCTAGCCTATGATAGGTGAAGGTGGAACGCGTCCGTGTTTGTTCGTGATCCAGGGTGAGAAAGGCAATGATGAACCTAGGTACAAGAATTTCTTTTTCAGAATTCAAAATAGGGCCGCCCACTAAAAAGTCCAGATCATATTATTTAAGCTAAGTGAACACCCCGCGAGATGATGAAAGAGGGAGTGCCAATAGAATGACAAAAAGATTAAAATAAAAAGTCATGATGGAGATCTCTATGTGAATTTAGATAATGAAGCAGAAACCTGGGTTTCGACGGTACTGACGCCCGGATTTGTATTGTATCAGTCTTCATTTTACGAGGTAAAAGATATCACAAGCTCAGCTGTCAGGAAATACCGAGTACAAACACAAGGTCGAGCATGTACTTTTAGTTACGCCATAGATCTTGAGTCTTTTAGGGTGTTGGTTATTACGTGCTTGTCTTCACTACTTCGTCTTTGTCTCTGCATTTAATATTGTTCCACAATTAAAAGGGTTGCAACTCTTACAGGTGTGCGCAATGCGTTCGTCTATAATCATCATCATCATCATCATTGCCTTTGTCAACCTACACCTGGTTATAGGCCACCAACAACCACCTTAAGCTTTTCCCTATTCTGGGCTAGCCTCTTGATGTTATTCCAAGTCTTCCCACTTTTCTGTAAATCAGTTTCTGTGATTCTTCTTCAGGTTCCACGCGGTCTTCCCCTTGATCTTTTACCCTGTGGATTCAAATCCAACACTTTCTTTGTTACGCAGCTGCCTGATTTCCTGAGAGTCACTTTCTTTGTTACGCAGCTGCCTGATTTCCTGAGAGTATGTCCGATTCCATCTATAATGCGCTTACGGAATGTAAAATAAACATAAGCGAAAGATCAGAATGAGAATAAGAATGTGTAATACCTGATCTTCATGTCACATTTGTTGAAACATCCAGTAGAACAATGTCATAACTCAAATAATGCCACCTTTTGGGTCTAAATCTTCACTTGTCAAGGCCTAAAGTAAATGAATGTGGGTTGTTGGTGGGTGCTCTGGTGTGGTTTGCTTCTTCTTTCCTATGAAACATCTATCGTCCTCATCTCCCCTTCTTCTTTTTTTATGTTTGTTACTCTCTTGTAACACCTCTAATCTTCTGGCGCTCATATGACTTTATGCAGTTTTTAGCGCCGTAAAACCTCTACTAAAAAAACTAAAGTAAATGAATGAAAACCTTCTTTATAAAATATTAAAAATTCTTATCCCTTCCAAAGCTCCTGGCAAGCAAACAATTATTGTGCCGACCAGCGCTGCCTTCCCTGACCCCAACCTACGCCAAGACGCCGGTGGAGCAAACATACGTCAGCTTGGTATAACGATGTTCAATCTCATTTCTAGGAAGTCTCTTCTTTTTCTTCTTCTTCTTCTTTTTCTTCTTCCAATAAGATTATATTGATCTAAAGTTTATTTCTGTTTCCTTTACAAGTGAGGGTATGTAGCAAAACCTTAGAAAATCTAATTAACTTTGGGTTTAAAAAGACAAAAAACGGCAACATAGTAAATCTTTCTACTACTGACCATTGCGTCTCTATGCAAACGTGTTATTTAAACGGATGAGTCACACAATTCAAACCTACAGCCATCAACAAAAGTTAGGAGCCACCTTGACAGGCAGTCCTAATTTTTAAAAATACCCCCCCCCCCCACCAAAGACATCAAAGAATGTTTTAAAATTTTTGCTATGAAAGTGTTAATGGGTTACCAACGCGTACTGCAAAGCCTCCTAAAGGATCAAAACCTCCACGTGCAGCACGGAAATCCTCGGGGAATTTTAGCCAAATTTGCTGTTTTTTATCGACTTGTGTGCGACACCAAGGACTTTCCTCAGTTAAAATTTCTGGTGCACGTCATAAACGGACGTACGGTCTCGAACTGTGCTCACTTTGGTTGCAATATAAGCCACCGTTTGCCCAAAATCCGGTATCGCATCAACATACCACCAAGACGAAAGCTGAGAGACTTTGATTGTGCCCGAACTATGGCACGGCTGCAGGATGGAGTTGGAGCCCGAGAAGTTGCCAGAAGGCTTGCAGTGTCACACTCTGTCATTGTCCGCCTGAGGCAGCACCATCACGCCACTGGATCAGTCCAAAAAACGACCACGAGCAGGTTGACCCAAGAAGTTTACTCAGAGTGTTTGCAAGTGGTTATTAACTTTTGTTGAAGTCTGTAAATGAGTAAGATTTGTGGCCTTAGATTAACATGCCGAAGACATCTGCAAGTGGCCAAAACAGTACTATTTTAAGGGTTTATTAAGGTATTTATTACTGATCTGAAATACTACTTTAAGATTGACGATTAGTTCCGCAAGCAATTCATTTCCTGCGTGTTCTTTAAAACAAATATTCCGATGGCCCTGTGGACTTGAAGATACCAATTATTGTTTGCTGCAAGAAGGTACGTCTTCGTGTCCTCATTTTTTCATGATGCGTTCTTCAACATTAATTTAGACATGGTTAATATGAAAGGAAGATCTGACAACCAAAAAACAAAGATGGTTGGAAAATAGCTTCACTGATTCGTATCGATGTCTGTTCCAGGCAACTCTGCTCATTTGACGACAGCAGATTCGACTACCGCGGCAGAAGACAAAATGGGAGCCGGGCCCGTGATAGGGGGCGTGGTTGGGGCACTCGTGCTTGTTGGTTTGGTGCTCACGGCTTTGGCCTTCTTCAGGACGAGGCGAGGTGAGAAAATGTCATCTGTGAGCCATCGTGGTGAAATCAGGTAGATCTACTCGTCAAAATATGAAATTGAAGATACCGCAACTTTTATGGCGGTTTGGCAATTTCATTCGAAGTTTTGTTTCTTGGCTCAACACCTTTAATGACCTTTCAAAAACAAATTTCTGTTGTAGTTTACTGAAACAGCGTTGATTTGAGGCACAAACAACGTGGACTTTCAGCTTCCAAGGACTGTCAATCTATAGAAGTCACAAAACTTTGGCGACCGTTTTCTCACTAATTTTACCTCTGAAACCAGGAGACCCCATATGCTTCAATTGAAAATATCACAACTTCTTTCCTAGATAGAAGGGTATTTTTTTCATCGAAATATAGAAACATTAACGTGCTTTCAGATGACACCAAAAACTCCACATGCCCAAAAATTGACGAGCACCTGATCCCACCACGTCGTGCCTCATTTTATCCCTGTCGGGATACTGGTCTACTTCTTTTGTTCTTTTCCTCGAGACGAGGGGTGCTTCAGTGGTAACCTAAAGATATTAATACGGAATAGACGAGATTTATGAGAAAAAAAATAGTTTCAAGGAGAAGAAAAATTCTACAAGTTATACCGCTTCGTGCCTTCAGAGTATTATAGTTATTCATAGAAGGTCAATGTCTTAAGTTTCCCTTTAAAGAAAATGACAGAGATCTGCTTAATCCGCTTCATCAGTTCTTGTCAGTGCGCAATCTGTTCTGTGATAAATGCTCACCTTTTAGTTGAACTCCATCCTAACAAATCTCTTCAAAGTATAAAAGCTAGAACAGAGGAGAGAAACTACCCCCCCCCCCCCCAGAAACAGTTATTGTTTGCACTCCCCTCTCTCTATCTCTCTGTTTCCCTCTCTCTCTCTCTCTCTCTCTCTCTCTCTCTCTCTCTCTCTCTCTCTCTCTCTCCCTCTCTCTCTCTCTCTCCCTCTCTCTCTTTTTCTCCCTCCCTCTCTCTCTCCCTCTCTCTCTCTCCCTCTCTCTTTTTCTCCCTCCCTCCCTCTCTCTCTCTCTCTCTCTCTCTCTCTCTCTCTCTCTCTCTCTCTCTCTCTCTCTCTCTCTCTCCTTCTTCTCCTTAGTAAAAGAAGGTTTACTCAAGATTGTATGGTTTGTATTTACAGAAAGAGCAAAGTCATGTATGTGATTCAAAGAAACAAGGGGGTAAGAAATGCATTTGCCTGTTGGGGATTGAGTCAATATTGTTTACCATGTCAAATAGTCTCTGTTGACCACTAACCATTTCATGGACGTAGTCAAATTGTTCAGAAATATATTATTGTCAAAGGAAGATTTTAAAAAAAAGTTTGAACAGCGTTGTGCATGTGGTCTCCTTTCCCCAAATTATTGTTCTTTATCTCCAGGGTCAAATCCTTCGCTTTGCTCCCCTGCCCTGACAAAGTTACTGGAGTGTACACTTGGCGAGGCTGGTGCTGGGAACACACAACTTGCAGACGTCACCGCCGAACCTAACCGTCATCAAAACACCCACAATATCCATTTGAGGCCCAGAGAAACTGCTGGAGATAATACACGTTCCAACTCATTTGTTCCTTTGCATAAACGGGTTGGAAATAAATCGTGTCAGAGACAAAATCATCACAGTTTTGAAGTTCATAAAGACTGCATACATACAGAGTGTCATCAGTTTGACCATGAAAGTACTGAGCTTGACGAGAAGTTCAGAGAAACATTGTCTCTTGATGATACTTCCCCTCATTATTCCCTACCGAGCTACCTTAGATCAGATTATCGCCCGCAATCATCACTTGCGGAGGATATTTCAGATTTGCAACTTTCTACAGGTGATAGCTCTTCAGATCTTACTCATTTTCGAGTAGAAGCTATTATTCCTCCAAGACCATTCAGAAGCAAAGGTCCTCGTTCTCGCGTGTTCTACCAGACTGATATTAATGATTTCCCTCCTCATACGCGACAACAACCAAAGAACTCCGAGCAGGAAGAGCAAGTAGATTCCGGTCTGTGGCATGGAGTTGCCGTTCGGACAAGTGTTCACCCACAAAACAGTAATCAAACGAGATTCTTCGATGAAGCTGATCCACAGTCTCAAGATATTAGACCAAGTGCGTACATTTCTCCGGCCTGTGCCGAGTCTGACCCCGATTCTACTCGGATTAAATTTCTTCAAGATACGTGTGAGCCAGAATATCCTTCATCTGGATTTTACTCTATAGGTGACTATCACAGATCCTACAGTTTGGACAGTCAGCATTCGCGGGTCGGGAATATTCCTAGCGAAGAAAACGATTGTATCAGTGTCAACACTGCTCTCCTGGATGAAGAATTCGCGAAGATCAATCAACTCTACGAGGCGAAGACTGCACAACCTATACCATCAACGTCATGTTCGAACAGCCGAGAATGCATCAGCCTTGATAGGATATCTGTTTAATCTAATTAATTATGTGAACCTCACTTAACCTGTTGCTATCATATTATTGTTGAGCCTTTGACTCCACTGGTACGGTATGCAGACATTGCAATTCCGTCAAACTGAAAGCTCAACCTTGTGTGTTATGTTGTCATTGTACATTGGCATGGTATTGAACGTCCTGGTTATCACCAAATTCTGTTGTTGACTGAAGCCACGACACAGCTTCCTACTTTTATTGGCTGTATCGTGTATGGTTATCAGCAAGAGTACATTTTCGTTATGTTTTTTTTTATACTTAACACTTTTCCAGGACAATTTATGTTCACATACTGGATCCAGTGAGAGGCGCGATTTTTAAAACATTACCGACCAAGATGGAATGAAGTGGATCTAAAGCCGTAACCCCTTCACTGCCAGGTCCGAGACTTGAAAGGTGGAGCAAGTCTGGGAGTAAACGTGCATGCCTGCGTTTCATGAACCTCAGTTTATAGGTATGGGGTTGTGTGAGGTGCACGATGTTGATTTGTTTCAATTTGTAGTCTAACCAAAGGCCCAAGACAGTCCCGGACAAGGCAGTGAAGGAGTTTAACTTACCTCTTCAAACAAGTTTGGGCAGAAGTACTGGTATGTTTGTTTCAGGGAATAGAATAATAAATAAAACGTCCCCATTAGGGCCGGCGTCAACATAAATATTAAAGCTGACATAGCTGAAGACGCGTATTATCGGAATGAAGTATCTCATATACATTAATGATGTTCTTTAGTTCCTGACTCTTTAATTGGTCTTACAGGCAATGTCATGGACCGAGTGTATTGTCATTAATTGAAATTCGCAGGACACAACACAAAATTAAGATGTGCGTGTATTAATTTAGATGTATAGACCGTGATTTGTGTGTGTGTGGATGTGTGTGTGTGTGTATGTGTGTGTGTGTGTGTGTGTGTGTGTGTGTGTGTGTGTGCTCTCGCGCATCTGCGGGTGAATGGAAGTGTGGCTATGTGTAATACATGTAGTATGTGTACGAGTGTGTGCGTGCACGCGAACGAATGTATGCTCGTGAGAAGAGGAAGTAATGTAAGACCCCCCCCCCCCAAACAACACCAACAACAAAAACAACAACAAACGTTGGAAGAAACATTACACCGTAATAAAAATGCTGAAATACCAAGAACTCGTCTTCAAATTTGACATTTTATTTCAATCATAAGAACAACCGGTCATAGAATCAATACATTTACGGTATGTCAAAGAAGTCAGTCGAGGATATGGTCCTGCTTTGTGCAAACATTTTAAGCCATCCCAAAACAGGAAAATGACGGAAGGCGTGAAGGCGCTACAAACAGATGTCAGAATGTGACATAGCAAATCTTTAAACAAAGACGGTCTAACTCAGTGGTTCTTACCTAGGTTTGATGGAATCCTATCAGGCCTTCATTTGTTTGTTTGAGTAAAGAGAAGCACATTGACACAATCATGGTCATTTAGTGCTGGGAATGAGCAATATGAGACTACTACGGTAATATGTCGCAGTTCGCCCCACACTAGCCTTACATACCATAACATGGAGCTTTACTCAATTCCAGTACACTGGAAAAATCTTCTACAACAACGGAAAGGGTGGAGGGGGTGGGGGGGGGGGGGGGTGGGGCCACAAAAGATCGATTTATTGCTACTGTAGAGTCGCTCAGGACTTTTATCAGGCACCAAACAGTGGATTGAATCTGTAATATTGGGAATAAAATGAAAGGTTAAAGTGTCTGTGTTATGGTGATGTTAATAAACGCGACAGTGACTTTAAAAAGGACTAAGTTACACATAAAAGACCTTTCCTGTAGAAGGAAAGAAGTTAAATTGGGGAGAGGCCGTGGGGTTAAGGTATAGCCGGGATGTAAATGGTGGGGGAAGAGTGTTACAGTGAAATAGTAACACAACAGGAAAGACATTTCGCTAGCCAAGAATAGTTTTGAAACATTTGACGTAAAAAAATTCGGAGTTCCACAACATGCCAAGCTTTTTCGAATGCAATTCTTTGAATATCTTCATAACGACTCCGAATAATCATATGTCTTTGATAGAACAGATGGAACATTTGGTTTCTTAGCTTACGGTCTTAGTAACTCAAAACGGCCAAAACTGTCAGATAGAACTTTGACCATGTAATTTTAAGGTAGCGATTTGATTACAAGACGAGTAACTCTTGTGGGAGCGCCTACAGGAAAAGCCTAACGCGGGCAGTTTGACAATATTCTGCCCCACCCCCACCTATACTAGAGATGGATATTCATTACGAAGGCTTGCTTCTGAAATAAAGATAGGCCTACATCCTAGAGTGTGCTAAGGTAAACATTATAAGATGTCCCATGTAATAACTAAACTATGTGTTGCATAATAATGTTAAATAAAGGAATTGCTCGATTTAGGGAGACAGCTGTTGAGGTGAAAGTCATAGAAACAGCGAACCATTGGCTAAGTGGGAAAGGCATTTGACTACATATAAGGCGAGTGACTCTGCGTGGAATCCTGACAGAGTGACAGAGCAAAGCAGAACGTGCGCTGTTTGGCGAGGCAAAAAAGTACAAGGCAATGGGAAAACAACAGAAGGTACCAACAGACTACATTTTTGAGGATCACACTCCAACACAGTAAACCTCATCTTGCAAACCAACTTCTCCCTACCTCCCCCCTCCCCAAACCCAAACTCTACCAGCCCAAGAAATCAACAACAATAAAAATTGAAACAAAACCCAAAACAAACAAGCCCACCATCCCCCCCCCCTTCCGATTCTTGAAAAAAAAGATGATAAACGTGCTCTTTCTCATCCTCATGAGACAAATCAATGAATGCATGAATATGCTAAAAAAACGTCCTAAATGTCAGTAAACATCTTTGCAAGTTATGGTATACAGTCACATTCAGTAATTGAATGTCCTTCCCCCCTCCCTAAACTGCTCAATTGAATGAAATCAAACAGAAGGCACTTTTATATAACCTTATGTCATTTGGAGCACCCAAAGCCAATAGAAATTGCCCGCAGTGGTGGGTGTCGAATTCAATAGCACAGGAAAGAAGAACATCACTACTACTACTATCAGCATAGTGGTTTTACATTGAGCTGCAAACTCCTGCATTCATAAAACAAAAAAAAAACAAAAAAAGAAAAGAAATGAACATGATGCAACAGTTTATTTATAAAAAATATAAGAGATTAATTATTGCTTTATTCAGGCAAACAACTTGTCCACAGCTACAAAATGTCAACAAGCGCAGTAAGGCAAGTTAAAAATGATCAAGTAACAACTTCAAAGCTGAAAACGATTAACTTGAGGTTATAAACAAATTCTGAATAATGTCTATTGAACCTTACGTTAAATAAACCCCATTTCAGTTTGATTACGCTGGGCAGTTACATTCTACACAGCACACTATGCTGACAACAGGCATAGCTTGTAACACATTGAGTTCATTACCAAGCTGCAGCACGGTACAGACAACATAGCATATCTCATTCCATCTTAAAATGTTAATGATGTGATTTAAAAAACGAAGAATAAATAATACTGTATTGTCTCTTTTTCGAAGCAGGCATTCCACTGCCCTGAAGTCAAAAGCAAGATGATACTGTCCTAAACACGTCTGTCATAAAATAATTCCAGAGGCACCAGGACAGTATACTTGTAAGTCAATCTCCTTTTAAGTCAAAGTACAAATAATTGATATATATTGCAAAACCTTTCCAGATAATGAACCACTAGAAATATATTAAATCCGCTCAAAAGCCATCAATTTTGCATCAACTTCTGTGTATACATGCATGCAAATAAGGAGACGAATTATTTTGTCTGAATCTAATAATGCTGAGGTAGTCCTTTACACAGCCCCAGGTCTGGTAGAAATGTGCAGAACATTAGCATGCTATCACAGATATGACAACCAGGAACCTCAAAGACTTCATGTCATTAATTTATCATTTTTGGCTTCTTCATTTTGAATTTTTACAATCTATATCGCAGACTCATTTGCATCTTTCAGAAAAATAACAGCAACTTCAACCTTTGCAAACATTATTTTTGTCAGCAACATGAAACTAACAGGAAAGGAATCAACTACTTTAAACCATTCCCAAACTTTGATCGGTTGTAGTCCCACCCAAAACTAATTTGGAAGTTTTCAGAGAATTTTCAGACAGTATAATATATTGCAAGGCAAGTTATCACTGGTATATCTCAGAATTTAGCCTACCTCGAACAATCTGAACGAAACCTGAGCTTATCAAATAGCATCTTCATGTGGTCACACAGTAACAGTAACAGAGCTCAATACATTTAGAATAAATATCTTACGCCCTAGTTATGACAATGGTGTTGCGTGCAATTGGGTTAAAGACAAAAGATACACAAACACAACATATTTTTGCCCCATTTCATAATTTAGGCAACAACAGTTTTCCCATCAATATAAAAGCAAACAATTTTGACAAACGGAAAAGTATGCTTCAACGAATAAAATATTCACATATCTTCAACAGTTACGGCACAATTTCCCTCAAATTGTGAAAATCCCGTAATTTTTTCCCTCGCGTCTATCGATCTCTTTCAGCGAGTCTATGAGTACCAGAAGGCGTTTTCATGAGTGACACTTTTAGATACTTGTGGCTCATTTAAACGCCATAACAGCATTAAACATACAAGCAAGCGCCCTTCTCCTGTAAAAGAAAAAAAAAGCGCAACTGATTGTTGTGACTATGGCAAGGTCTCAGGCAAGGGTCAGCTGATTGTTTCGGAGGCTAATGGTTTGTAGTGAGGTCTTGGATGTGGCCAGGCCGGGACGAGCTGCTCCATGTCGCGGGAGTCCGCGGGACCTGTTGGGGGGTGGGGCTCCGTAGCTGTGCCGGATAGCGTCATACTGAGCACCCGCGCCATGTCCAGGCTTCTGCAGAGACAATAATACGTCAGCGGTATTAAAAATAGTTACATTTGAATCACAGTGGAGTCTGCTCAAAGCAAACACGGTTAATCCGAAAACAGCGGTAAACTGACAGTTACAAAAAAATCCCCGATTTTTTTTCTCCTTCAATTTGAGCATTCTCTCTAAATCGAAAATCCGGCTAAAGCCAAAAAAAAAAAAAAAAAAAAAATTCCGCGATCCCTCATTTTTTATAATAATACGTGAAATGCTGTACATTGAAGTTTCATTTATTGTTTATTCAAGACCAATAGAGCAGAGACATGGATTGTGTCTTGGGTTGTTGTTCACGGAGCTGTTCTAGAAAATACATGTAGTTTGTTTTCTCCACTTGAAAAAACGAAACAAGACGTACTAAACCCCCCCCCCCCCGATAAAAACAACCAAACACGAAGGTGTCGAATAGCTAAAAAGCAAGGAAGCTTAAAGACATAATAGGGAGTGGTGATTGTTCTGTAAAAAATCTTGTGGAAGTGCCTCTGCAGCAAAATGTAAAACGTGTTTTCACAGCTTATAAATCTGAAATAGGATGTGATTTGTCTGTCTTCCAATTTTCTTTTTCACGTGCGTTATTCTTTTGTGTCTGAGTTATCATTCATTGCCAGTCGCTAAAATAACGGTCACATTTCACCTGGAAACTGATTAAGACAACAAAAACCCCGAAAAAGAGTTCAACAGAAACGAAACGGGTCTCCCCATACAAAAAAACCAAAAACAAAACCAAAAACAAAACCCAAACAACTAACTACTAACCCCTTCCCCCAAGCACAATCATAGGATAAAAAGGCCTAGGCAAACCTTTGAGGGTGAGTAAAGTGATTTGAAGCCGTCTTAATTAAAAGAACTGAGAATTAACGTTCACCAGAAAGTCTAGTGGAAAAGTCACTTTCATAAAGAAATAACACACTGCTTTAAATGAGGACGTGGATCTTGTATCTTGCTTCTGAACAACGACAAGACAGAGTAAAAGGGAACAGTTTCTTTTTTGGTCAGTATCAGAACTGCAGTTATCACACTGAAGTACAAGTACAAGACGTCTCCCACTCCCAACAGACTTCAATACACAAGTGCTCTATGGGAGCAATGGCGACATGACGCCTCTCATTAGGTCACAATAACTTGCACATCTTGGCACGCAGTCACGGAGCCCATGAAAAAAAAAATCCGCCATTATTTTGCGTGAAAACGAGCCAGCATATTCGTTAAAAACATATATACATGTAAAACAACAAGAAAGAAAAAAAACCCTGACAGAATTGGTAACTAGTCTTAATTTATAAAATATTATAACACTGTGCACCCTACGCCGTTTCTTCAGAGGGTGTTACATGTAAAGAGCATGCGCAATGGCAACTGGCTAAATTCATTTCGCTTTGCTACATTGTGACAGCATCGCGCCTTTTATCAACGCAGATTTTAAAAATTTTGCGATCCTGTTGTTATGCGAGGACGAACATGACACTTTGGTACATTTCTGTATACGCTGTAAAACATAATGAAGGAAGGAGATAAACCGCTGCATCCTCTGGACATTTCAGAAACATGCGTGTAGGGTCCGATAGTGTCACAGCAGAACCTTTTCCAAGTAAATCAGACAGTCACATGCGTAGATATTTCGGCTTCCAGGATACATGGTTTCTAAATGTTATTATGTCTTACGCGAAGGAACGTTTCATCATACACTTGAGGTATTGTCTAATGCAAATTTGTGAGCCAAAGTACGCGACAAAATTATGCAACAACAATTTGAAAGGTATCACAAATGTGTGAAAAAAACCAAAACAACAAAAATGCGCACTCGTGAAAATATTAAATGAAACAAAGTTACAAACAAAACAAATTAAACAAAATGAGTAAAAAATAACTCAAAAAACAAAACAACCAAAGTTAAAGGAGAAGAAACATAAGACAAAGTAAAACCCAAACGTTCACTTATGAGTAACGACTTGAAAAATAGCAAAACAAAACCAAACGTTAGCGCACACAGGCTCTGGTACGAGTGAGTGGGCGGGGGTTAAACAACGGCCACTACAACTAAAACGTCCAACACGCGCACAGAAGAAAGGGTTGAGAATGAAAAAATAACGTCCATTTATCCGATTGGCAGGGACGTCCATTTATCAGATTGGCAGGGACGTCCATTTATCAGATTGACAGGGACGACAAAGAATAGCAGGCACAGGGCAACACCTTGTCAGATATTTAACGGAAAGTGATCAACATGGCTGCTAAAAACTTCTGCACGTCTGGAACCTGATCACTTTGGCGTACAATATGAAGGCAAATTAACTACACGTGTCACTGTATCTCTAAAACTCCTCTTCCCCAAAAACCGTGAGATGGAGAATCATAATTGTATTATTGCTAGGTGAGTTAAAACATTTTTAATTAGATTAATCCACTGTGTCCAAACGGAAATTTATTGTCTTTTAAAAAAATCTTCTCCATATAATCCGTCTCGTAACACCCATCTTTTAATGTAATCTTTACCAGCCTCGAGTTCATGTCATTTCCTATCTATTTACAAAGCAAGTCGGCATAATATTACAATGATGTCACTGCTAGCAGTTTTTTTTTTTCAAGGTTGCCCAATAAAATACAGACCATTGCAGTTCTGGCGTGTGATCTTCAACTTTGTAACACGGTCAAATGGAATGTTAGAATGTTATATCAACATGTGCTACAACTGAATAGAAAACTCAACAGGCTTGTCGTGTTTATGAACTGTCGAATACTAGAAATAAAAAAAAAGAAGGGCTTGGGGCATACCTAGCGTAAATGATCTAACTTGTGTCGATGTTGGCTTTTACAAAGATTAGAGGTGTTACAAAAGAATAAGAAATAAAAAAAAAGAAGGAGGGAAGATGAAGACCATAGTTGTTGAAAAGGAAAGGAGGAGCAAGACACACTAGAGCACACGCCAATCAACGACAGAAGCGACCCTCATGAGAGAAACCGAGAAAAAGCATGAATATATCTATTACATATTTGGCAACTTGGAAACACATAAGTCACTTTACCCAGAAAAATACAACAGCTACAGAGTTGAACGTTGGCAAGTACTTGTAATAAGATAGCTAGATTTGTCCCCATGACAGAGCCCGATTTTTAAAAAAATTATCCATTTCCTGAATTTAGACAAATATATTATTTGACA